TTTTTTTAATTTAATTTTTTTTATTTTAGTTTTTTTTTTTTTTTTTTTTTTTTTTTTTTTTTGTACATTTTTTAATAATCAGATACAAATAGATTTATTGTTTTATCTTTTTTAAATAAAAAATTGTATACATTAAGATGCTACCATCATTTGAAAACATATCATTCTAGTAATTTTTATTTTATTATTATTTTTTTTTTTATGTCTTTCACTATTATTTTTCTAATTCATATTCGAATATTAATAAAATAAAAAATGCTTAAATAAATTAACTGTTAAAAGATTAACTTTTTTTATTAAATATTGTTTTATTTTATGACAATAATAAATTAGCAACATAATACCTATTAAAGCTTTAAATAAGAAATATATATTGAATTAATGTTTTTTAGAATTTTGTAATATAAAAAGACCTAATTATTATTGTAAACCATATAATTTTAATTTCTTGTAAATTTCTATAACTAAATTCAAAAATATATGAAAACATAATTAAAACTTTTTTAATATAACTTTTTTATATATTAAAAGATTCTCATTTTAATTTAAAATTTTTTTTATTAGATCTTGTTTTCTATATAAATAAAATTTTTTCTTTTTATTCTCAAATATTTAAAAATACTATTATGTATGGTATTTTTTTCCCAATTTTTTTTATTATTCAGATACAAAAGTAAAATATTGTTCTACCTTTTGGCAACTCTTTAATACATTCATTTTATATAGCTTTTAATCTTTAAATATTAAAGACATTTTTTCCTCTATATATATATATATATATCTATATATATATATGTGAATATTTTTGCATTACTATATTATTATTAAGTTTATTAATATTAAAAAAAAATTATTTAAAAAAAAAAAAAAATTAAAATAAAATGTTAATTTTATTCTTTTGATATTAAATATGAAAAAAAAACTATTTATTAATTTTTATTATAATAATAAAAAGAAACAAACTAATTCTCCGTTGTGAATTAGCTAAACTATCATGCCATAAATTATTATATTTTTTGTTTTCTGCTAATTTTAGAAGATTTGCCTTTTTTTTTTTTTTTTTTTATTAATTATATATATTAATATATTCTATATTTATTAAAAAAAAATTTTTAAAGGAAATTGCGTTAAAAAATATATTTTATATATAATACGGAGAAATGGAAAATATGATATTAAAAAGAAATTTAGACAAGTTATAGACAAAAAGTATAAAAGAAAAGACATACAAAAATAAAATATTTGTGTGAAAATTAATCATTTAATGGAAATAAAAAACAAATGCAAAAGTTAAAAACGCAAATAAAAAAAAAAAAAAAAAAAACAAAAAATAGGACAATAAATTAATATAAATGATCACAGAAAAAGTACACAGAGTAAAAAAAAGCATTAATAAATAAAAAAAACATTTAAATATATCTAAAAATGTTGAAGAATACATATTTCTAAAAAAATTTAAATATTCCATGTTATTAAGGAATTATTATTTGTTTATGATGTTATCATTTAGGAAAATAAAATAACATTTATGGAAAATAAAGAGACCTTAAATAATTATTAGCATTATTCAAAAATTAAAATTGGAGTTCTCTTTTTTTTATTATATCGTGGAATTTCATTCACTCTTATTATTCGCTTTAATACTTTATAAAATTTACATTTTTATTTTTTTAAATTAAAATTCCTTTTTAATATGAGAAAACTGTTTTTGTTTTTATTTTTTACATTTACATATTTTTTTTTATTCAAGGTGAGAAAATGTAAAGCGAACTATAAAAATGGAAACATTGCATATAATCCTAATTATAATACAGATTTATCATCTATTAATAGCATAAATGAAAAAGTTGAAACACAGAAGGGAAAAAAAAAAAATTTAACTAAGACTATTTTAAAAGGTATAGGAATTTTTTTTATGTTAGCAACATCTATAAACTTAATTTTACAGAATGCTGTGCTTAATGAAGAATTATCAAATCATAAAAGAAGAGAGATAGATTTAACTGCTCGTTTAATGAATGCAGAACGAGATGTGTTAACATCTAAAATCGAATATAGCAGAAAAGTTGAAGAAATGCAAAATGTAATTAATCATATGATTGTTCACACTTTTAATAATAAGTAAAAGTTTTAACCAACATCAAGAAGAATTTTCTCAAGTTCTTTTTTTTATAAAAAAATGTATTTATTATAAATATATAAAGAAATGAAAAAATAAAATTTTTCTTGTAAATTTTAATAAAATAAATAAAATGAAAAAAATATTTCTATATTAATTGTAATAATATTATTTACACACTTCTAATTGCATGGAACACTCCTCCATATTAGAGGTCTACTAATGTAATTCATAATTTTTTTTTGTTTTAGTTTAATTTTTTTATCTCCTATTTCTAAACTTGTAAATTTAGTCTATAAATAAATTAAAATGTATATTTTATTTAATATGATTTTTTAAAAGAAGCATCATTATAAGAAATTTTTTTTTTCTTTTTTTACATAATTTATATATATTTGATTCCATTATTTTTTTATATTATGTATAACATCATTTTCAAATTAAATAATAATATATAACTATATTAAATTTATGAAAAAAAAAAAAAAAGAAAAAAAAAAGTATTTTTATTTTAAATTTTAAATATTAACTATTTTAAATAATGATATATAAAAATAGTGCAAAAACTATGGAAATATATATGTAAAATGACACTAAGGATTTGTAAACTAAATTGTTATAATTTTTCTTATATTAACCAATTATATTTAGGATAAAATCATAGAATATATATTTTACTTTTTAAAACTAATACTATTTTAAAATTAAGGGTTAAATATTATTTAAACTAAAAATTTTGGTTTTATATTTGCTCATTTAATATCATATATTAGGTACTGCAAATTTTTTTTAAAAAATACACTTTTTTAAATATATAGAGTTATTTGAATTATGCTTTTTTTTTTTTGACCAAATTTATAACAATAGAAATATGTAAAACATAAAACTAGAATTAGCAAATTGCTAAGAAAAAAAGGATTATAATTTTCCTTTTATAGAAAAATATGCAATATTTTTATTAAAATAGAAAATTCTCATTGAAAAAAAATTAAACATTTTAAAAAGAGTTGGCAAAACATTCTTATTCAGAGTATGTCGCAAAAGTAAAATGATAAAAAAATAAAAAGAATCATTAGTAAGTGATAAAATGAATCAAAAAAAAAAAAATATAACAAGTGAATATAATAAAAAATTAATTGTAATATATAAAGAATTTATGGATAATAAACACACACACAAATAAAAAAAAAATATTATTAAAAGGAGAATATTGATAAAAATATGAAGGAAATAAGTATAAAAGTACATATACAAACTTTATAAAAAAGGAAAATTTTTTTATATATTTTATGAAATAATTATTCCTTTATGTAAAAAGTATTAAGATGATATATAAATTCGTAAGAGTATGCCATAGGGCAAAACGTTGTATGGTTCTTTGAATGAAAAATATCATCCTCATTTTTTTTTTTATGAATATATTGAAATCTTCTCCAAAATTCAGTGGAAAAATTCCAGAAAATAAAAAAAGTGGAATTTTGCAAAATATAATTTAATAAAAAATATGTCTGTGAATCAGTTATGTATTCATTATTTCCATATTCCTTCAAATGATTTTTTTCATTTTTAATTAATTGGCATAATATTAGGTAATATTTATATGACTTTTTTGATAAATATTCATGAACACTCATATTATGATTAATAAAATAAGATGTTTTCCTTCTTGGTTTTATAAAAGTATAAGTAATAAAATTATAATATTTACATCCTTCACTATTATTTGAACATGTAATATTTTTTTTAATTTGTTCGTAACATTTTCCTACACTTCCACCCATTTTACACACATCAGGAAAAAGTTCATTTAACTCCTTAAATATGTCATTCGTTTCAAAATAGCAATAATTTTCCTTATTTTTTTTTACTAATGGATAGATATCATAACAATTTTTATAAGGATAATAATCCTCGTTACAATTAAAACGTAAATTGTGTAACATATTCATAGATTTTTTTTTCATATAATTAAAAAAATTACTTTCAATGTTATGATGAACATACAAATTTTCATCAAATTTTGCAACTGCTGATAATAGTAGATTATTTTTTAATGTATATCCAGTTATTATATAATATAATTCTTTTGAAAAAGTTGCCACATTCATTAATTTTAAACCTAAATGCTCATACTCCGTAATTCCATTTAATAATATTTCGTAAAACTTTGTTTTTATTCCAGTTTCAAAATTTAATGTTTCTGCCTCTATTTTTAGTGTTGTAAATCCATGCAAAATACAAAGACCAAATACAGCCTCTAATAGAACTTTGCTTAAAATAGGATAATTTATGTAATATTTATCATCTCCAATGTATTTTATTGTGCAGGTTTTATTAAGAAATTGGAAGCCTATAATTTTACTTTTGGTAGATGGATTTTCACCTAAGTAACTCTTTCTAATATTATATAAAATATTTTCAGGATAAATATAAGTATCAGTGTTTATATTGTTTTCGTATACTTTTGATATATTTCCGTTTTTATCATTATATTTATTTTTCTCTTTATCTTTTAGCATATCATTATTTTCTTTTATTTGATTTAATAAATATTGAAAAGTTTGTTCTTCATTTTTTATATTAATCAATAGTTCATTTTCTAATTGTGCTTCACAATAAATACTACCATTTTGAAAGAATTTAATTAGTGTTTTAGAATATGGCCAAATATTATCTGAAGTACATAAAAATTTCAAATTTTTTTTTTGTAATTCAGAAAAATTTGAGTTTCTTTTTTCATCATTGTTCTTAACAGTTTGATTTTTTAAAATATCATAAAATTTAGTAGGGACATTTATAATAGTGAAATTATAATAACTATTAAATGAAAAATATTTTAAAAATTCCTTCTTTCTGTCTTTATTATTATTTTTATAATCATTATTTTTACTCATTTCATATTCCTTATAAATTTTCTGTAATATGTCACATTCATATTGATTTTGCAATGTAAATATTTCTTTTTTATCTGGGCCAATTATGGATAAATGCTGCATGGTTATTTTATTTTTAATTAAATTTTCCTTTATATCTTTTATACCAAACATATCATGGATCATTAAACTTAATTCTTCAGGATGTTTTTCAGGAAAGGAATAATTTTTAAAATTATTATATTCTTCTAATTCATCGTGTGTATAATCATTTTGTTCATAATAATTTTTCTCTTCTTCAAGGTTTTCATAATTATTATCTTCCTTATTATCGTTGTCATATTTTAGTAAGTCAAAATCTATAATTTTATCCTGAATATCCTTCATTGAAAAATTAAAATTATCCAATTTTATATTATCATATGCATTATCTATAAACTCATCAAAATCCGCATTTTTTGAATGCTCTAAAAATATATTATTTAATAAAATAGATTCTTCTAATGTTCTGTTATTATATCTACGATTCTCCCTTTTATATAGTTTTTCATGATATTTTATATACCTTAAAATGTTGCAAATTTTACTTTCTAAATTTTCCTTTAAATTTAATTTATCTAATTCATCTATAATTAAAGAAGTTACAGAATCGAATTCAAGAGAAAACATAGTATTTTCAAAAAAGTCTTTTTGTATATTGTCATCTTGAGGAAATAATAGATCACTATTTTCACTTTTTCTTATTTTTTCTTTTATTTTTTTGGAATAGTTTTTTTTTTTGAAAGTTAAAGAGTTACTCCTATTTATATAATGTTGTAATTTTTTGATTATCATATCATTATTAAAAATATTCATATGATCTTCATAGGAGCAACTATCAAAACATAAAAAATTTTCATATGAAAATTGATGCATAATACTCTTTGCTTTTTCATCCAAAATTTTCGATGACATAATATTACTTATGCATTGTTCAAATGAAAGAACATTGTTATCACAAAAATATTCAAAAGATAATAAAAAAAAATCACTTAATTTGCTATTGTTTAATGATCTAAAATTACTATATTTTATTTTACTACCCAATTTTTTTTTTATATATTTTTCATCTTCTTCATAATAAACATGTAAATAATTTTTATAGCATAGAGTTATTCTTTCTTTAAAGTTCACTTGTTCCAATAAATTTTTGAGTTCTAATAATTTATAATTAAAAATTTCTCTCTTTTTCTCAATTCCTCTCCATAGTAGATAAGATTTATTAGAAAAAAATTTAAAATAAATATTGGGAATATTCTTTCTTATTAATTTTCTGTCACTATTTATAAATGAATTCATACTTTTCATAACATAAATGTCTTTAGAATGATAAAATTTACTACTATAAATATCAAAACCAAGGTTGAAGATATGATTCACACTGGTTTTTTCAAAGTATTTAACTAGAGCAAATGTATTTTCTGATATAAAAAACTGATTTTTATAACCTAATTTGATACATAATCCAATTAAAATTTTTAAAATTACACTTTCCCCATCTGTTATATAAGAATTAATATTCATTTTTAATTTGCATAAATAATTTACATTGACATTTTCTACATTATTACTTTGGTTCAATTCACTATAATTGTCTAGAGGTTTGTTACTATTATTATCATTTCCATAATAAAATGGGTCGTTTTTTTTTTCAAAGAGCATCTCACTTTTCTTCAATAAATTATTTGATACCATAAAATCATTATATCCATTTTCCTTTTGTTTATTTTCATATCTTTTTTCTATCTCAAAACCTAAATAATATGGATCTAATCTATTTATAGTATCATAACATTTAATAATTTCATAAGAATTATCATAAATGTAATATTTACAGATAAAATTTAATTCTCTTATGTATTTAGATGTTTTCGAATGGACATTATCCCCATATCGACTATCTATATTTTTTATTTTTACATAATAAGTATAAAAAGTGTTTTTACAAAGAAAATTTGAAATGGAATTAATGAAACTTTTTTTATTAATGTTGCAAATAGACAGTAATTTTAGGTTATTAAATGTTTTATCAGCATCTAAGATATCTTTTTCTGAATTCGATTCTATTCTATTAGATTCTTTAAAAATTTTCAGTAACTCCTTTTTATTAAAATCATAGGGTTTTATTTCACTACAAAATAAATAATTAATAAAATAAATAGGAAATAATGCAATGAAGATATCTATTCCCATTATATTGAAGATAGGGAAAAAAAAAAAGAAAAAAAATTATATTTTATTTTAAAATATTTTTTTTTCAAAATGATCACTGATTAAATTGATGTCATTTTTTTTAAAATTTTTTTAATCGTTTTATATACAGTAATTTTGTATTTTTGATTTGTTCTTATTAACTTTTACATTGTCAAATAGTATTCTATTTGTACATTTTTTTAATTTAATTTTTTCTTTTTCTTCTTATCCTTTGTCTTTTTAACTTTTTTTTACATATATATCTCTGTCATATTATCGTAGTATTTCACTGATTTTATCTTGTTAATGTGACTCTTTGTTTTTAAATACGTAAAAATATTATTCTTATTAATATTTGAAAAGATAAATACTAAAAAGTTTTTAAAAATGGATAATATTTATAAATATTTGAAAACTGAAATTCTATGAATAAACAATGAACCATATAAAAAAATACGTAACTTTTTTAGCTGAATGATGTCGTAAATGGTGAAGAAAATATAACTTTATGTAACAATTCAACAGTATTAAAAAGTATTTATATAAGAATAGTGTAAAACAAATATTATAAAAATATTTAGGATACTATATAGTGGAAAGAAAATAAAAATATGGAAAAAAATAATACTAACTTTAATCGAAAGATTAAAGAAAAAACAAAAATTCAAAACCATAATATATTTTTAAAATGAAAAAAAAAATGCAAAATTTTTGAGAAATTGAAAATTATAACATGACCCTCTTTTTTTTTTTTTTTTTTTTTTTTTAAGAGTACATTTATTTTTATAAAAGGTCTGTTGACTTTTTATCCATTTCAAATATATTTATTTTAAAGGCTAATATATATAGAGATGCTAAATAAAACCTTATATAAAACATAATAATATGTTTATTTTTTTCACTAAAATGATACACAACTTGAACTTAATATTTTTTTTTAAAATTTCTAAAATTTACACACATTAAATGTTTACATAAGTAGGAAACTTAAAAAAGAAAAAATGACTTCAAAGTTTAGAATAACATAAATTTGGCTTTCTTACAAAATTTTTATATTTATTTCTTATTCTTTATAAAATTTTTATATATGTTTACAATGGAATACCAAAAAAGAAATAAAGTGTCATATAATGAAACTTTTCAAAATTCTCTTGAAATAATGAAAATAAAAATTGCATTTTCTATATGAATAATAAATTTCTTATTAATTAAAAAGTTTAAATTATTACAAATTATAAATTCCTTTTCTCTCCAAAATATAACAAAAACTCATATATATATAAATTATATACAAAGTTTAAATATCTATCGTTTATGAAATTAGATATATTATGGAATCCAAAAATTTTCACCTTATAATATTATATTTTTCCTTGTTAAATTCATGTATTTACATATTTAACAATATATATTATACACATCTGTCTATATATTAACCTAAATATTTTACAACATAAATCTGTTTCTATGAATTCTATTTTTTTATCATTTAATCATTCCTTTCTCAATTTTTCTTTTAAATATGAGAGAATCTTAAAAAAAATTTTAATAAAATTCTTCTTTAATTTTTCATTTATTTGCTTAAAAATAAAAAGAAAAAAATTTTACGCATGCATGTTTTTAAATGAAAATTTTTTATGTAACCCAACTGACAATATAGCTGTGACACTGCATAAGAATTCAACAAAGAAGATTAATAAATGTAAATTATTTCATATAACGCACAAAAGTTTTCTTATTTTTTTTATTAAAATTTTCAATTATCTATAACTACAATGTAAAAAAAAAAATTATGCATGTCGAGCTTTCTTTTTTAAATACCTAATTAAAATCAAATAATAGTAAAAATTGTTATTTTAAAAAGATTTTCTTAAATATCTTTATTCTTTTTCCTTATTTTTTTTTTTAATTTTATTCTATTTCTTTTATTTATACACATTTTTTTAAAGTTGAAAATTTTTTATTGATATAATCTACAATATAAGAATGATAAAAATAAAGTAAAGAATACAAGATTTTTAAATTTTTTAAAAGAACTAAGAATTTTAGCAATGAACTATTTTTTAATTTATCGATTTTTGAAAAAAACAAATTTTTATCTGTTAAAATTAAATAATTTTTTAGTGTTTTAAGAAAAAAGAAATTTTTTTTAAGTTTATTTTATTTTTTTTTTTATTGTTAATATGAAAATTAAAAATTAAATTTGTTTTGATTTAACAAAAAATTTGCCATCTGTTCTATATATATATTTTTTTAAAAAAAAAAAAAAAAAAAAAAAAAAAAAAAAAAAAAAGGGAAAAAAAAAATAGTACATTAAATAATTTATATAATAATTATTTCAACATGATTTTGAGTATATCAATAACATATTTGATATTTTTATTTTATTTTTTTAAAACATCAAATATATATGCAAATGATCAAGTTTGTGACTTTAATTTTGATGTAAAAAAGTTATCTGATATATATGAGAAATATGAAGGAAAGAAAATAGAGGTTGATAATTCTAATAATTGTGATAATTTAGAAAGTTTGAATTCCGTTAAGGCATTCTGGATGTTAAAATTAAAAGCTTTATGCACAGAAAAAACGTCAATTTTGGATAAACATGTTTTAAATAATATTTGCAGCCAAAAATATGATATACCCCACATAAGAATAAATGGATTAACCATAGGAAAGGATGTTGTTAATTTAGAATTTGTTTGTGCTCATTTCTTGTATAGTAATAATAAGGAAATTATAAAATGTATAAAGAGCAATTCTTTAAAAAATTATTTAGATTCCTTTCATATAGCATTCGACCTATCTATATCACAAGAATTGTTAAAGCAGTCAGATAATGTAGATCTTGTACTTAATTTAAATGATTTAAATAGACTAAATCTTGTTAAACAAATAATTGATGACTCCTTATGTAGAATTCATTCAAGTGTCCATACGATTATGAGTAAAAATGATTTTGATATATTAAAAGTGTTAGTAGGTTTATGTACAAAGTTAGGTTTTCATAACCACTTTATTTTAACGGACAATATTCATCCCTTATTTAATCCATTATATTCAAAAGTACCACATAGTTTAAATGCATTGAATTTTAATTTAGAAAACACTACATTATATTATGCAAATTATGAATATTTTCTTTACAACATCAAATTAACTGATGCAGAATATACTTTGAATTCGTATATGTCACCATCTGTATTAACAATAAATCAAAATAATTCTTTTGTAACATGGGTAGGATTAAAAAAAGATAATAATGTTTATAATAAGAAATTTGATGAATTATATGAATTACTGGGAAGAATTAAATATATTGAAAGAATTATTTATTGCTATAGTAAATATACTTCTAGATATTATGAAAGCAGTATAAATTATTTCCTTAAATATTTACCTGAAGATAAAAGAGATATAATGCAGAATAATGGAAATATTTTTATTTATTTAATTAAAATGTTATGTAATAATATTCCATCAATTCATCAATGTGTATATAAAATTATTTCTTTAAATGGAATTTATGATATTTATTTTAAAAATTTTATGATTAATTTTATTTATTACAATGCATCATGCATATTCAATTGTAATTCTGTTGATTTAGGAAAATTATTTAATGATGACCATTTATGGGATTTATTTATAAAATATTTTTCTCATTCGTATTTAGTTAAATATAAAAAAAAAAACACCAATACTACTGGATTGTCAAATGAATATAGTGAATTAGCTAAATTATATTATACAAATTATGATTATGATTATATTCATAGTGGAAAGTGGAGAAAAGAAATAAATTTAGATAATGAAGATGAAATTTTAAGACCATCAGATGAAGCTATTGAATATGAATTTTACAATTATACATATCAGTCAATTGATTTGAGTAGTTATAGTTTCTTTATTTTAAAAAGTAAAATGTATGAAGATAATATATGTAAAATTGCCTCTTTTATAGAAGCAAATGGTAAAAAGTATGTTCATACAAATAATTATATTAATAATTTTTTTAATAAAAATAATAAAAGAGTACTTTCTCATGATGATGGAACAAATGAAACAAATAAAAATGTTAATGAACAAAATAAAAATAATAACAATGAACATAATTCTAGTTCTGATAATGATAGTTTCCAAGAAGATGAAGAGGAACATAGTGATCATATGGATAGCTTTAATTTGTTTGATGGTTTTCTTAATGATTATGAAGATGGTAACGGTTTTCTGGATATACTTAAAAATAACAATTTATTTGGTAAAAATAAATTATTTGAACATATCTATGGAGGTAGTGAAGACGGGGAAGAGGATTACTTACACTCGTACACAGGAAAATTTGATATAGAAAATCATAAAATAAATACAAAAATCGGTGACATATATCCATTAAAAAGAGTATATGACTATAAAGAATTACAAGAAATTTATGAAATTCATCCAAACTTTAGTGACTCAGATGAAGAATTAAGAAATCAATTTTTTAAAAATGAATTATTTGAGCAAAATATTTTTTTTACTGTAAGAGATGTACAAACAAGAATTAAAGATTTTTATAAATATTATTATGAAATTAAAAAAAAGTTAAATAGCTTCAATGAACTAGATGATACACATTATAACATGCTTTTAAGTAATTCTCAAAATGATCCAAATATTTTTTCAAAAATTAATGTAGATTTTGCATGCACTAAAAGTGGGACATGGCCAGTTCGTAAGGTATCTGGTAGATGGATATCAGAAGTTTTATGTGAAGCTTATTTAGTTCCACAATTAATATATAATTATCCATATGCAGAAAGTAAAAAGAAAGAGAATAATAAAAAAGATAATATTGATGAAGTGGATACTGAAATGTATTTGTTAAAGGAAAAAACTAGGCTAATTGGTATCGAATTTGAAGAACAAGAACCGCATAGATGTGCAATTAGTTATTTAGGGGATGAATCGAAAAAGAGCTTTTTGCCAATATCTGCATCTTTATTAATTAAAATAGCTATTGGTTTTTGTGTTTTACATGGATTTAAGACTATATGGATTGCAGATTCTGCATTTGATATACATACAAATATTTATTTAAGATATACTTCTATATTAGAAAAAGGATTAACATATTATGAACAAAGTAAATTTGAATTATATGGGCAAACAAGGTTAGTACCAAAATTAGATTATATTACATCAGGAATGAACATTAAAAACAATATTATCACATCTGGAGTATATAAAAATATGTATAGCATGATTAGTTTTCCAGGTATAGATTTAAAATTTCAATTATTAATGAGTAAAAAGGTTAAAAATACTATTTATAATTTAAAGTTTGATTGTCACAGTTGGGCATACGAAGGATGTTCAGAATATTATCCTTTAATGAAAAAAAATAAAAAAAATGTGTCCAATAATTATGATACAATTATTTTAAATGGTAGATATACAGATAAAGAAAAAGAAGAAATGTATCAATGCCCTTTTATGCATGACAAAAATTTTATTGAACTAAATAAAATGTTCCCAAAAGAATGTACTTTTGGATCAAGAATTGGTGATTGTCATGAAAAAGTAAGAAAAAGTATACCTTGCTATGACGAACAATCTTGTAAATATCAGATATATATTTATGAAGAATTTTTAAAACCACGAAACCATTTAAATTTATTATATGAACATTTTATAAAAGTTTCTGAAAATCTAACAAAATTAGCGAGACCATATTATTTACAATCCATTTTATCACTTGAACATGATATACAAATTAAAAAAAGCAATGAAGAAAATTCAGAATATGATGAAATATTATTGTTTATTTTGAAGAATTCTGTTTATTATGTTTCATGGGTTACTTCGAGTGAATTCTGGAAAAGAGCTATTCATGTTCAAGATTCAGATTATCTTAGTAATAAGGAAAATGAACAAAGTAATAAGGAATTTTTTTGCCCTCTTGCTTATGCGCATGAATATATACGACATATACTTGTCCAATATATGAAATTTCCAAATATATGATATTTTTAAAAAAAAAAAAAAATTTATTATAATAACATTAAGAAAATAAACTATATTTTAAAATAATTCCATAACTTTATTAATTTTATATGTATTTTTCATATTTTTTTGTTTTGTTTTGTATATTAACCTTTTCTCTTTCTCTCAAAAGAAAGGGGGAAAAAAAAAATAATTATATATAATTGTCAATTTTAACTTTGTTAATTTTAAGAAAAATATGGTTTTTAAGAAATAATGATTTAATTTTGTTAACTTTTATATTTATATTCATATATACATTTTTTGCATATCCCTTTATTTTTTAATTCAGATTTTTTATTTTTAAATATAACGAATATATTTTTAATATACCTTTTTATTAGGTACCTTAAAATTCAAAAGTTTTTGATTTTTTTCTATTTTTTTTTTTTTTTTTTTTTTTTGTTAATTAATTTTTCTCCATAAAAGTTTATTATATTGTTTTTATATTTTTAGTTTCTTAATCAATGAAAGATACATTTATTTTTAATAATTTATATATACTGTGAAAAAAGAACTCCTTTAACATTGGTCTTTCTTTTTTTTTTTTTTTTTATTATGTATACATTTGAATTAATAAAAAATTGAAGAACATAAATTTTAAAATTAGTTTTATTTTATTTTTATATTACTTGAAGTTCTGTAAAAACTATTTCTTTTTAAAATTATTTTTTATAACAAAAAAAAAAAAAAAAAAATATTGTAAAAATTTTTGAATTTTAAGTTTTTTTTTTATTTTTTAATTGACTTTCATGAATTATTGAAACTGTTAAGCCATTTTTCTGTAATTCTACAAATTGAAAAAAACATATGTATAAATATATATTTAAATAGATATATAGACAGATAAATATATATATACTATTTAAAATGTATTTTTAGCTCAATACTTATATATATATTTTACCTTCACAATACTTTTCCGCTTTCGCTTTCCATGTTGATAAGACAAGTGCTTGCCCTGTACTATGAGCCTCCACTGTAATTGTATGTGCCTTTGCTTTACTAATTTGTCCAATAACTTTTACAATTGTATCAGTTACATAAGTAAAGCTAACAAAAAATAAGTATATGTAATATTATAAATACATAAATATATAAATTTATATTAAAAAGAAAAAATTTTGAAATTTTATAAAAATGTACTTATGAATATCATCATTATACAAAATGACTTTCCACGCAGTTGTTTCACTTTCTCTTTTTTTTTTTTCTTCTTCATCAAATTCTTTTATGTTGTCTTTTTTTATCTCTTTAACTACATTTCTGTTGAAAATATATATACATTTTCACTTAAATTGTAAATAATTAAAACAATTGTATATGTATATATAAACAAATTTATTTTAACCTGAGTTTATTTATTTTTTCCAAATTTAAATTTTCGTTAACATAGATAGAATATTTTTTTTTTTTAACCTAACATTATATATAAAAAAAATTACAAAAATTGATTCAATTATAAAACTATATATTTGTCTGTTTTATTATTTAATCAAAAAAAAAAAAAAAAAAAAAAAAAAAAATTAATATTTACAAAAAAAAAAAAAAAAAAAAAAAGAAAAAATATAATTCTATGTAATAATTAAGGAAAAATAAAATAATATATTATTTTTTAAAAACCTTCAATGGCTTAAATATCTTCCTAGTATTATTTAAATTATGTAACTTCAAAGATGAAAAAATAAAATTGCAATGATATTTCATATATATTTTATTATGTGAATATGTACTTTTACAAAGAAATATATATAACACAAAAAAAAATGCTTTTAAATATTTATACATTTTCTATTAATTCAAGTTATATAATTTTCAATAAAATCAAACAAGGAAAAAAAAAGGAAAAAAAAACAAAAAAAAATATATTTCTTATGAATATATATTCATCTTCAAAATAAATAAAAGAGATTTATCTATATATCATTGTTAACTTATAATTTATATATGTAAAAAAATTATTTTATGTATGTGCATTTTTTTTTTATTTTCACAAGTATTAGCCTATATATTGAAAGAACATTTAAACAATATTAAATATTCCATTAAGAAAATTTATCTATATGCTTAAATATACATATATATATATGTATATATATATTTTTCTTTTATAAATTTTTAAGTATATTATATAAATTTTATCTCATAAATTATTATACATAAACTTTTTTTTTATTTTTGTTCTTTTTAAAGGTTTCTTTTTATTTAATTTCTAGATTTATTATATTTCTTTTACATTCATTAAGAAATACATATCTTTTGATAACCCCATTGTGTTTTTAATATAGCGTTTTTAAATTCAATAAATAATATTAATTTTTTTTTTTTTTTTTTTTTTTTTTTTTTAATAAAATGTAAATAATTAGATAAATATATGCAATTACCAATTTTGTAAATCCAGATAAAATATATAAACATTATTTTGAGATTAAAATATAATCTACCTTAAATATTTTTTTAGTTTCAAGATAATAAATATGATTGAGTATTTACTGCAATATTTAAAATATATATTTATTAAAATATTATGCATTTATATTAATAATTTTCTTTTCCTTTTGTTTTCATTAAGTTATATTATTCTAACACATTAATATTAATTTTATAAGTAATTTTTTAATTAAAATTTTTTTTTTTTTTATATCTAGAACTTATTTGCTTTTCAAATCTTTAAATAAAATAAGGCAGTTACTATATGAAGACTTTATAAGACATTACACCTCATCAAGTTATTTTGTGATATTAGCATAAATATATTGAATATTTCAATTCTATAAATATATATTATTAAAACATATAAAAATAGTCAATATCTTAAATGGGTAAAAAAAATTAATGTAAAAATGGAATATAAACTAGAATTTTTAAGTTATTTAATTATATTAAAAAAAAAAAATGAAAGATTAACAAAATTTGATGAGCAAATAAAAACATGTATTAACACTTTTGAAAAAGCAATTATTGATGAAAAAGATTTAATATACTTATTTGAGCGAAATATATTAGATATTAATCCGAGCATTCGTTCAATATGCTGGAAATTAGCATTAAAACATCTTAGTTTAAATACTGGAAAATGGAATCAAGAGATATTAGAAAAAAGAAAATTATATGAAGAATATATAAAATATTTTGTACTAAATCCATTAATGGCAAATAATAATATAGATAAAGAAAGTACACAAATTAAGAAAAATAGAATGAAAGAAGAAATGAACCTAAAATCACAAGAAGAAGAAAAAGATATCTCTTTTAATTTAAATGAAGAATCAGATACAAACTGGATGAATTCAGAATTATTTAGTCAAATTAATAAAGATACTTTTAGAACTAGACCAGAATTATCTTTTTTTAATTTAAATCCAGAATATACAATTAATAATAATATAAATATTCTGAATAGTTTAATTAACATGGAAGATTTTGAGGAAGAAAATGAAGAAATTCCATTTCTAGTTAATATAAATAGCGACAATAATTTAAATTGCAATGAAAATGTTCAGAATGATAATAGATACTCAATAGAAAAAAAAAAAATTTGTAAAAATAATCATATTGACAATGTAGAAGAACATATAAAGAATGTGTTTACAAATAATGAAAAAAAAAGTAATAAAAAAAATATGAAAGAAGAAAATGAAGTTAATATAATGAAAGATACATATTCTGAAAATAATAATGTAAATAGTCATAATTCATATATTAATAATATAGTGAAAGATCAAAATAATTTGAATCTTCAAGAAAAGTTCAATTCCGAAGATTCAAGAGAATTTTCACAAAATTTAAGCATAGAAATAAATGAATCAGATAATTACAATTCCTTTAAAAATGAGAAAAATAGATATGATTCTATTGATGTATGTGATATATTAAAACCAAGAAGACATTATGATTTGTTATGTCGTATATTATTTATATATGCTCAAATTCATCCATATGTAAAATATGTTCAAGGTATGAATGAAATTTTAGCACCATTATATTTTATTATTTTTAATGATCCATTATGTAATTGCCCTTTACAAGGTGAAGCTGATACCTTTTTTTGTTTTATTGAATTAATGCAAAAGCAAAAAGATGTTTTTTGTGAAGGCTTAGATAATACAGATGATGGTATAAATGGCAAACTAAAGAAATTTTCTCTTTTGTTAAAAATAAAAGAATATAAAATTTGGAAAAGATTAAATATATTAAAAATAGAAACACAATATTATGCTCTAAAATGGATATTATTATTATTAACTCAAGAATTTGATATGCCTGATACAATTATATTATATGATCATTTTATTATTAACACTAATGAAAATTTTATTTTATATATTTGTCTAGTTATATGTATGAAATTAAAAAATTCTTTATTATGTGGTAATTTTAGCGTTAATTTAAAACTTCTACAAAATATACCTCCATTTGATCCATATGATATAATTTGTCATGCTAAAGATTTAATGAAAAAAGATTTAGAAAAAAATTTTAATATCACAGATGTTTACAATCAATATGTTAGTGAAAAAAGAAGAAAATGTTCCTCTGAAAATTTTAAAAATGATAATAAAGAAGATATATGTGAATATTCATCTAATGTGGATGAAAGTGATGAAAGCAGAAAGTCCAGTATATTTAACAACCTAAAAAATAAACCTTTTGTTCAAAATATTAAAAATTATATTAGTAACAAAATAGATATAAAAAAAAGATCTGAAGAAATAAATGATTTTAATTGATTATAATATATTATAGTTTTTTAAATTTATATATGAATATATAAAAATATTCAATAAAAATCAAAAACATCAAATTATATATATAGTTTTACTTATTTTTGTTATTTTAAATAATAAAGTATTCTTTCTTAATTTTATGTAGTAAAAATAAAAAAAAAAGTAACTCAAAATGTTGCAATTTAATTATTTCTTATCTTTTATTTATTTTTACCTTTTTTTTTTTTTTTTTTGTATAATTATTATTTATATATGTATATAAATTAAAAAAAAAGTAAGTCTTAATTATTATACTATTTTATAATTTATTTTTTTTTTTTTTTTTTTTTTTTTTTTTTTTTTTTTTTTTTTTTTTTTTTTTGTTAATACGTTTTTAATACCTTTTAATTAAACATTTTTATTTTTTAGTTGTAATTTTTGCAATTTATTACCTAAAAATTAGGAATAAAATAAAACTAAAAATAAACTTTAATTTGTTATTTTTAACTTGTGTTATTTTCAGTAATATTATATATCATTTTATATATATATATTAAAAGAAAATGTAAATAATTAAGGAACATACAAATAAAAATATATATGTTTTATTAATTAATTAATTCTTTCATTTATTTCATTTAGTTTAATTCAAAACATTTTAATAAGGTATCGTGTAATTTCTTTTCTATTTTATTAATGCAATGAATGTTTTCACTAGATATGACACATTTTTTAAAATAATTGTATTTCTCAACTTTTAGATCTTCATTTTTATATTCTATTTTTTTATTTTTTAAAATAGAATTTACTTCACATAATTGATCATAATAATTTTTATTTAAAATAAAAAATTTATCAACATTTCTTAAAAAGTTATGTAATTGTTTTTCTATATTTAAATTCATATTTTTACTATAATTTTTCATATGAAATCGTGCTGATAATATCCAATGATCACTAAATTCTTTATTTTTTTTTTGAGTTAATATGTCTACACCATAATTGAATACATCTTGAAATTTTATTAAAATACCATTTTTATTGATTAATTTAATAATATTTTCTAAATTATAATTACTTACTGATTTATTTAAAGTTTTTAATTTTTCATTTAGAATATCTATAGGATTATATAAATAAATTAATTCATCGATATCTTCTTTTTTTAAAAAAAAAGATTCTACTAAAAATATATTATCTGTTAAACCAAAACAATAATTTAATCCACTGATTAAAGTGTTTTTTCTTTCAACAATATTGTACGTTTTTTGTAATTTGTAGTTGATATTTTTATAAAAAAACATATCTTTCATTTTCCCATGATTATTTAGTGTTGTGAGTTTCTCGTATAATTCTTTATTTTCATTTAAATCTATATTAAAACTACCAATAACGAACATAGAACTATTTTTAAATGTCATAATTGATATATTTTTATCACAATCATTAATAGTATTATCATTTATTTTGTTATTCTTTATGGAACTATTTTCACTGTTACTATAATTTTCTTTTCTCTTATTATTTATTTTTTTTATTGCTTCACTTTTATTTATTCCCTCATAAAATATATCATTTTCATTTGATTTTTCTTCTTTTTTTTTTAAATATTTTTTGTTTTTATAAAATAAATGAAATATATAAATATTCCATAAAATTTTTTTAATTAATGTAATTAAATCATTTAAATTACTTAATTTATTTTGAATACTATATAAATCAAATTCACAATGCAAAAAATATAAATTATAATTCTCTTTATAAATTAATTTTATAATTTTTATAACTTTTCTTTTAAGTAAAATATCAGATGATAAAAACATAAAATCATAATATGATAAACGAAATAATTTTTTTGTCCAACAAATAAATAATCCACCGTTTCCATTAAAATAATTTTGAAAAGTATAAAAAATATCATTTAAAAAGTTAATTGATGAAGGAACATTATCTAACAATATAGTATGAGTATATTTTAATTTATCATATAATATTTTTTGATATTTTCCATAAATAGACCTTAAAAATATTAAATCAAATTGAGAACATAAAAGTGCAATATTTTTGCATCTATTTTCGTTGTTTCTACATTTTTCATATATTCCATATAAATGAGGATTATATCTATAAATATCGTTATATAAATATGTATTTAGGGAAAATATACTTATGCAATGATCATATATATTTTTTTCTTTATTCTTTAATTGATTTCTTTTATCTATTGAAAATGTAATAGAACTATCATCGCTCAAATTACTTAAGTTAATGCTTTCATTTATACTAAAATTATTTATATTATTTTCAGAAGAATTCCTACTATTATTTATACAATCTTCATTAATAGATAATAAATCGCTTAAACACAAATTATCTATCTCACCATAGGTGTTATCACTAGATTCACTTAAATATGAAGAATAATTTGAAAAATTAAATTCATTTGATGATGATAAATTTGATGGATGTTCATTACAACTATTTTGTAAAGATAATATATTAGAACCTATACTTTGTTCTACATTTTTTTTATATATTTCAGTACAATTTTCATTTATTTTATTTAATACATCTTCTAAATTCTCATATTTCATATTTTGAAAGGTAAAATCTTTTGATGAATTGTCTTCTTTTTTATAGTTGTAATTAGTATAATTCTTTTTAGTTTTAGTCATTTTCTTTTTATTCATTTATTTTATACATTTCTATAATTTGTAACGCCTATTTCTATACAATATATCTAAATTTTTTTTTCTCTTTTTTTTTTTTTTTTATTCCAGGAATTTAAAAATTTTTATCTTTTTCTATTTTATAATATTTACATATTTCATCCATATATATTTAAAAATAAGTTTAAACTTACGATGAAGGGGGAAAAAAAAACTTCGAATATATAAATGAAGAAAAAATTTAATCTAAAAATGAAATAAACTTATGAATGATTATATTGAAAATTACAGAAAATAATTTTATTATAAATAAAGTATGAATATTATATATTTAAAATATCATTAAAAAAAAAAAAAAAATAATTTTAATTGTAGACAAACTCATTTAAAACAATTCTTGTAAAATATATGCATGCAGTGTTACTTTAATTTATATAGATTATTTTTTTGTTAGTCTTTTTTTTTTTTTTTTTTTATTATTTTAAACTTCTAGTAAAATATAAATGTTTCAACTTACTATGTCTAAAAAACAATGTTCAATATTTAATTAGTAACTTTTTAAAAAATATTTTCTTTTTTATTTTACTAATTTAAACAACCTCAAACTTTCAAACATAAAATAAAGAAAAATACTCCTCTATTAAATATGTTACACTTTTATAATAAACATATATAAACTCCTCTTCACCCAACAAATAAAGATTTTAATTTAAAATAATTTTCAAAATATATATATTATTTTCACATAATTTATAAAAATCCTATTTTTATTGGAAATAATTCTTTTATTTTTTTATCTGTAGTTACTTGTAAGACCCTTTAATATTTAAGAAATTTTCTTTTACATATAATCATTATTTATTCTTTTTATTCTGATAAATATAAAAATCGAGATGATTCTATTTGATAATTTTTTTTACTATTGATAAAAGAAAAGCTTTTAAAAGGATCTAGTAAAAAAAATGCCTTACCAACTATCAAATTTACATGCACACAACCATAATTTCTACTATCAAATGAATCATTCTTATTGTCTCCTTCTATCCATACGTTATTTTTAGGTATTTCAATAAAAGAATAAAAATTATCAACATATATTTTATCCTTTTCTATTGCAATAATTCTTTTACATACTCTTTTATTACTATTAACAGGAGAAATTAATAATACAACATCTCCTCTGTTATAAATGTGTTTACTTTTTTCTTTTTTTTTTTTTAAATTTGTTATTTTTTCAGAAATATTTTCATTAAAATATATGATATTATTAAGACGAAACATAAATTTTATTATATTGTTGTATTTTTGTAAAATATATATATAACTATCTATATATATTTTATGTAATTTATAAAAAAACTTTAATGCATCATTACAAATATAAAATAAAATAACTCCATTTTTATCTATTAGAGGGTGCATACTTGAACCACTAGTGAGAGTCATATCAAAAAAATAATTATTTATTGCATATATAAATAAACTGCATAATGTTATTTTTTTAGTAAAATTTAATAGATATTTGATTTTTGTAAAATTAATATTAAAATTCTTTTTGTTTAATGCATTTATTTTAAAATTATTATTATTTCTTTTTTTTGATGGATACTTTCTTACTAGATTTACTCTATTTTTTGACTGTAATCCATTTTTATTTAATTTTATATTTTTCATATAAATTTTATTATTATTAGGTAGTCTATATTTTCTCTTATTAGCCTTATTATAACCTAAAGTATTATAATTAACTTTATTCTTATATAAAATTTTTTTCTGTAAAATTTTTAAGAAAGATATACTTTTAATGAAATGAGAATATATAATCATATTCATATTATTTCCATACAAATTGAATATATGAATATATAAGATATATATATTCTCTTTTATTTTGTTTATTTTATTCTTTTTTTTTTTTTTTGTCTCTTAAAAGCAAATATTAAGCACCCTGTGTTTATATTGGAGAAATTTAATTCTGAATTTGTTAACACATTTCACAATTTTAAAGAATGTAAAAAAAACATTAAAAAAAATACATAACTATAAAATATAATACATATATTAATTTTTATATATTACAATAAAAAATAAGCAAATAAATAATATAAATAATAAATACAAAAAAAAAAAAAATAAGTTATAAAAAGTCAAATTATTTCTGTTTAAAAAAAATAAAAAATATTAATATATATATATTTTTTTTTTTTTTTTTTTGTTCCTTTTTTATAATGAATTGATACAAAATCCATATATTTATTTGATAGTATTTCTTTTTATTTGCATTATTATATCTTATCTTAAAATTATTCACTTATTATTTATACTATATATATTTATATCTATTTAAAAAAAAATTATATTTAGTTTAAATATTCATTAAAATATCAGTTGTAGTTTTTTTTACTCTTTTACATTGTTGATTGTGTTTTTATAAAAAATATTTTTTATTTTATATCTTATTATTTTTGTTTTATCTTAATTTTTTTTTTTTTTTAATATTTTTTTATATTATTAAACATTTTTATGTTTAAACTATTCTAAAATATTTAATAATATAAAAAGGTTTTTTTTAATATGGAATTAAGTCATAAAAAATCTACTTATGATAGAAAAGTTAAATTAGTGATGCATATATAAATATAGAAATAATTTAAAATTTTATATAAACTTAAAAAATTATTGATTTATCTATTTCAATAAATACATATTTATTTATCTTTGAATTTATTTATTTTATTTTTTTTTTTTATAGTTCTAACTTCTAGATATATTTTCATTTTGAACTTTTTTGTTTTTATTCCTTGAATGAAAATCTGATATATTAAAAAAAAAAAAAAAAAAAAATGTGTTTTATTATAAATAATATACACATTTTCTATTCTTATAGAAAATAACTGAGATAGAAAAGAAATGTGAAGAAAGTTTAAATGAAATATTAAGATCAGCAAATGAGGCAAAAGAAATATCAAAAAAAGCAGAAGAAGAGTTAGAACATCAGACAGGTGAATAAATTATTTGTGAAAATTATGCAAAAACCAAAAAAATAGAAAACATATATGATTTTATAATGTTAATATACTAAAGAATAAAAAAAGAATAAGAGAAAAAAAAGAAAAAATATAAATTTTTAAGTAATAAAAAATGGATGCGTATTAATAGATATATATATATATATATATATATATATATATATATATATATATATATATATATATACATATAATTATAAATTTAAGAGTTCTTAAAATTTAAGAATTCATATATTTTAAAATTATTATTTAGAACAAATAAAACATATACACAAAGAAACTGAAGATATTCAAGAAAATTTGAAACAAAGTCAGTATCATTTACATGGCATAAAATATTGGTGGAAAAATATAAATTCTTTTTTAGGATTTGAAACATATAAAAATAATGAAAACAAAAAAACGAATAATAAATTAAATGAAACAAAAAGAAGTATTAAACTTAATGATAATAATAAAAATGTTAAAAATCATGATATTTATAAAAATTCAATGAAAATAGAAAACACATCAAAAAGTAAATAAATATAACTATATTTTGCAAATTTTATATACTTATAAATGTCTACATATATAATTTTTATTTTTGTTTTTTATTAAGGAAATGAAACATTTGAAGAAAAATATGAAAGCAATTTAAACTCATTATCTGCAGTGGTTCAAAATAACTCACTTTTTATATATATATATATATGCATATTTATATCATTTTATTGTATTATTTTTAATTTTTGATTAATTATAAAATTTTTTTTTTATTTCTAAAAATATATATTTAGTTAGATGAATTACATACTAGAGCTTTGATAATGGGGAATACAATAAACGAACAAAACAAAATGGTAAAAAAATAAAAATGAATTTTAATTCATGAGATAATTAAAACATTATTATGAAAATTCTGTGATTTTAATTTCAAACAAATTTACACTAATTAATATTTATAAGTATTTTATTATTTATTTATTTATTTTTTTTTTTTATTTCAAATTTATAGCTAAATGAAGTTAATGAAAAAATGGAATGTAACATTGAAAAAATTAGAGATCAACAAAAATTAATGAAAGAAATAATGAAAAAATAAAAGTTTTATATTTTTATTTATGAAGAAGATAGAATATTTCATAAGCGCACTTATACATGTTTCTTTTATATATTTTAAACCATTGTTATTGAATTTTATCTTTTAAATTTATAAAGAAAAAAAAAATAAATAATTGATAAATTTAATTAAAAAAAGTACAACTTCAATAAAATTATTTTTTTTTTTTTAGTATAAATATTTTTACATTTTGAAACATCATATAGTAATTGTTTTATATTATTAAAAATGTAAAAAAAAAAAAAAAAAAAAAGTGTTGAATTGTGATTCGTGTGCAGTTTTTTTTTATATTTAAAAAATGTGCTAAAGAAAAAAATAAAAAAAAAAAAAAAAATTCATTTATATTTCACAACAAAAAGTAAATATTTACATTTCATTGCAATCCTTGAATCTTAGAAAAAAAAAAAAAAAATTGTATATATGCATTTTTATTTGCATACATATATATAAGTATATATATAATAAAAAATAATGAAAAAATTAGAAAGATAAAATAATTTGGAAAAATGAAATATTAAAATTATATTAAATTATATACCTAATAAGTATTTATATAAATTATATAAATGTATATATGTAGTTTAAACACTTATATATATACTTTATAATTTTTACTTTATTTTATTTTACATTTATTTAAATATTATATTTTAATATTTTTATTAGGTTATTAATAAAGTAGAAAAAATGAAATATTACAGTTTAAAAAAAAAAAAAATTATAAAAAAAAACGAAATAAAATAAATACATATATTTGTATAATCTTAAAATCATAATTTTTACATTTTTCGTTGTTCCTATAATAATATTTATTATAAAAGCAACTGTATTAATATAAATAGATTTTTCATTTTTTAAATAATAGAAAATCATAATATAAAATAATATTATAAAAAATACATCCAGAAGTTTCCAAGTCTTATTTTTTTTTTTTTTAACTAATTAAATTCAACTTAAATATATCTCTTTATATTAAAACTAAAACACTTATCAAAAATGGCAATGAAAGAGGATTATTATGATTATTTGTTTAAAAGTAAAACCCATATATATATATATATATATATATATATTTATATCTGAAAGTTTTTTTTGAATTATTTTAAAAATATTTAAATACATAAATTTTTATCTTTTTTTTTTTTTTTTTTTTATTTTTGATCAGTTGTACTTATAGGAGACTCAGGAGTAGGTAAATCAAACTTATTATCTAGGTATACATCAAATAAGGATATTAATTAATTTAATTTATTTTAAAAAAAAAGAAAATTATCACATATTAAAAATGAAGAAATTGTTATGAAATGTTTATACAAAATGATTTAAGAAAAATATATAAAAAAACCCAGATTTAAAATGTTTAGAAGAAAAATATATTTTATAAATAATATAATAAAGTAAAAAAATTTATATAATTTCATATTTTACTTTTTTTTCTTTTTAAGATTTACAAGAGATGAATTTAATTTGGAAAGTAAAAGTACAATAGGTGTAGAATTTGCTACTAAAAGTATTCAATTAAAAAATAATAAAATTATAAAGGCACAAATATGGGATACGGCTGGACAGGAAAGGTATCGAGCGATTACTTCTGCATATTATCGAGGGGCAGTAGGTGCATTATTAGTTTATGATATAACAAAAAAAAATTCTTTTGAAAATATTGAGAAATGGCTAAAAGAATTAAGAGATAATGCAGATACCAACATTGTTATTTTATTAGTTGGTAATAAAAGTGATTTAAAACATTTACGTGTTATAAATGATAATGATGCAACTCAGTTTGCTAAAAAAGAAAAGTTAGCCTTTATTGAAACTTCAGCTCTTGAATCTACTAATGTAGAATTAGCTTTTCACCAATTATTAAATGGTTAAAAATATAAATATATATATATATTTTTGTATTATAGAAATTATTAATTACGAAATATTTTTTTATTAATTATTAGGAAATTTTAAAAAATTTTAATTATATCATATTTGTTTTATTTATTTATTCTTTTTTTTTTTTTTCTTCTTTTTTTAGAAATTTATAATGTTAGACAAAAAAAACAAGCTACAACAAAAGAAGACAATTTATCTATACAACCTAGAGGAAAAAAAATAAACGTCCTAATAAAAAAAAAATTGAAATAATTCATTTATAAATTTACATATATAACACCATTTATTTACATCTCATATTTTTTTTTTTATAGGTTGATGATGATAATGATCAAAATGATACAAAAAAAAAATCGAAATGTTGTTGATATCCTTACGAAATTTTTTTTTTTTTTAAATTCATATAAAAAAATTATAGACACCATTTTTTTTTTTTTATATTTGTTATTGTGATATTTTTTTTATTATGAAATATTTTTCACTTAATTATTTCATTTAGTTAATAAAAAAAGTATTATTAATTTTAATGTTTTAATATTTTTTTTTTTTTTTAAAATTGTTCCATCATATTTTGTTAACTTTTAGTAGAAAAAGGAATAACTAAATTTAAAAAAAAAAGATTTTAATTATGTTTAGGAGTATAAAAATATATATATATATATATATATATACACATTATATATATATCACTTTCATCTGTTATATTTTTTTTTAAATATTCTTTCCTAATTTTTGAAAGAATAATATTAATATATTTTTCGAAGAAATCACAAAGATAAAATAAACCTCGTGGTTTTTTTATTTTATTTCTTTTTATTTTTTCAATCGACTTAATAAATTTTAAATGAGAAATAATTACGTATATAAGTTTTATTTCTATTTATTTAATTTTTTTTTTTTTTTTTTTTTTTTTTTTTTTTTTTTTTTATTGTACAATTCTTATTTTAATGATTACTGTAATTTTTTAAAAAAAATACACATATGAATTTATTATCTATTAAAAAAATATATTACACACTTTTGCATATTTTGTCAATTCTCATTTTACTGCATATGTATATTTTTTTTTTTTATATTTATTTTTGTATTAAAATTTATTATAATTTTTTAAATAAAAAAAAAGACTACTACACTTTTTTGCAACTTTATTTTAAATATTTCTTACAATATAAGCTTTCGTAAAGAGTTGTAAAATATTATTTTTCCTATTGTGTATTATTTTTATTTTTAGGTTATTCAGACTTTTCTTTTTTCTTTTAAATTTAATAAAAAATATATTAAATTTACTTCATTTAAATAATGATAGAATGTGTTTTATATAAAAGTCAAAGAATTTTTTTTTGTTTTGTATTTTTGTGTTAATTTTTTTCTCGTAAACTTATGAAAATTTAATTGTTTCAAATAACTTAAGAAATATAGTAATCGTTCTAAAATTAAGAATACTAAAAAGTATATATGTTTGAAATACTTATTTTTATGAATTTAAAATGTTCAAAAAAAAAAAAAAAAAAATAAAAATAAAATAACCAAATATAAATATAATAAGTTAAAATAAAGTAATTCTCACTATAGTAAATATTGATAGTCTAATTTTTATTTGATTAAAAAAAATAACAAACAAAAATGGAAGAAAGGAATGTTCTCGAGTATGCTGAAGTAATAATAGACAGGCAAAGGGACAAGATTAATGAATTAGAAAAACAATTATTAGAACTAAGAAGTGGTAATGAAGAGTTACAAAAAAGTATTTTAAAAAATGTTGAAGAAAATAAATCATTAAGAATAGAATTAAACAGAAAAAATAACAATGACATGGTCTTAAGTATGCATATAAATAAGGAGAATGAGTTTATTGAAAAAATTAGTTTATTGGAAAATCAACTGCTTAAAAGAGATACACTTTTAGAAGAATTGAACAATTTGTTAAAAAAGAGAAAATATGAATATCAAATATTGTTACAAGAAAAAGACAATCTTAAAAATACCATTAACATATTGAGAAATGACATATGTGAAAATAGAAAAAATATAAAATTGAAAGAGCAAGAATTTTTACATAATGAAAAACAAAATGATAATTTTTTAAATTTATATAAGAATAATAATGAAGAATTGAATATAACAAAAAGGTGTTTAATACAAATTGAAAGCGAACTACATATGTATAAAAAGCAAAATGAGCAGCAAAAAAATGAAATTCAAAGGCTTTATAAAATAATTAACTGTATGAATAAAGAAAAAGCATTAATTCCTCCTATTGTGTTAACCTTACAAAATGATTATCAAAATAAAAAAATAAAAAATGGATATACAGAAATAAAAACCATTCAAGATCAGTATGCTAATAAAATTAAGGAAAAAAAATTAGCAAAGACAGAGATAATTAATGATAGCAAGCATCCATATGAAAAATTAGAATATGATGAAAATTTATTAAAATTAAATTTAATGCAATCTCAAGAACAGAAAAAGTTATTTAATAAAATATTAGAGACTTTGACTAATATACAAGAGAAAAAAATTATCCATAATGAATTTGATTTTTTTTTTTCATGCTTTGCTTTACATTTGTATGAAAAATCTCCAACATCTAAATTGATTTATGAAAGAAATAATTCATCAAATAACTCAAATAGCCCAACACTCGAGTCTACAGAAGGTGTTAACAATTATTCTAGTAACTCTTCCTACAACTCAATAGAAAAAGATACTTTTACGAAAAGAAAAAAAAAAAAAAAAAAAAAAAGAGGTAAAACTATAGCGAATAGTTTCTCATCAGTACTAGATGAAAATGAAAAAAAAAAAAAAAAAAGCTATAATGAAAATAACAAACATAGTATAACGGAAACGGAGAATGATAATAGCAGCATTGATTATTCGACTGATACTAAGACAAGTAGTAATAATAATTCTAGCTATTCTTTAAAGAATTATATGAATGATACTGATAATCCTCATTTAAAGAGTAATAATAAATATGAAAAGGAAAAAAGTATTTTGCTAAATTCTGCAAATTATAATGAAAGATTTATAGGTATTACAAGTCAACATATTTATATTTATAAAAGGAAGAAAGATGAAGAACCAATGTATATCATCAGATTACAAAACCTTAAAAATATTAGAACATTACTTAATAATAAAATATATCTAATAGAACATATTTCTTATGGTAATGTTGTAGAAAAGCATTATATTTTAATAAAAGATGACGATAAATCATTAAGAATGTTTTATGCTTTACAATATGCAGGATTTATTAAACAAGATATGGATATTTTGCATAAAGAAAGAAAAGATGAGAAATATACTTCAACTAAAAATTATTGTGATAATGAAAATTTAAATGAAGAACTAGAAAAAAATACATATATTAGTAAAATGAACTCAACTATATCAGAAATAAAAGTAGATATTTTTACACCTAATGGAATAGATAAAAATGGTAATAATATACCTTATTTATCTAATAACGTTATATTAAGAGGAGATTTTAAAAATAATAATTTAATATTTGTGAATTTAACAGATGATAATTACTGTATTAATTGTGAAGATTACACTATAAAATATAAAAATAACAAATATATTCTTTATTTTAATAATTATAAAGATCAACATATCATAATACCAAAAAGTAAGGAATGTACCGATTTTTTAATGAACATAATAAATCAATTGAATTGGGATAAATATTCTGAAGAAAATAAACCTAATAAAGTAATAAATACAGACAATTTCTCAAATTATCATGAAGCATCTTCACATATGTCTGGAAGCTTTATAACAGGAAAGTATGATTATGAAGATAAAAAAAAATTACTAGAAATAGAGAGAGAATCTGGAAAAGAAAGTGGAAAAACAAATGAAAATGAAACGTATAAAGAAAAAGAATATGAAAAATTAAAAGAAAAAGAATATGGAAATTTAAAAGAAAAAGAATATGAAAAATTAAAAGAAAAAGGATATGGAAATTTAAAAGAAAAAGAATATGGAAATTTAAAAGAAAAAGAATTTGAAAAATTAAAAGAAAAAGAATATGAAAAATTAAAAGAAAAAGGATATGAAAAATTAAAAGAAAAAGAATATGAAAGCAAAAAGGATGACTCATCATCATATTCTAGTAGTTCAGATAAAAATGAAGATACCTTTATTATAAAAAACAATACTTTATATATATCAAAAGATGGATATCCTTTTAAAAAGAATTTAGTGAGTTTTAATGATGAAAATGCTATTAAATTTATCAATGAGGATTTGACAATATTAAAAAATGATGATCTTCAAGAATTAACTATTATGAAAAATAAAAAAAAAAGAAATGAAGAAACTTATATATTCCATTATCCGAAGAAAGAAAAATATGATCATTTACTGAATGAATTAAGTAAGAATAACTTTAATGTAATAAATAAGGAATTATATGACAAAATTAAAAAAGAAGAAAAAGAAAAAGAAGATGAAGAAAAAACAAATGAAAATTATAAAGATTCTGAAGAAAAAAATGAAGCAGAAATAGATAAAAAAGAAAAATTATATCCATTTATGGAGAATAATCAAGTTGTTGTTATTGAAAAAGGATCATTGTTAATTTATAAAGACTATGGTAATGAAAATTCTGTTCCAATAATGAAATTTTTCCCTGAATCTTGTGAAGTTCAAGCAAATGAAGTCAATGGAGAAATCAGGATAAAAGATACATCAAATAATACTAATGAACGGATTGTTCTTGATTGCTTAAATAAAACTGAATTTAATAGATGGAAAACAGCTTTAACTTTTGGTGGATTTCTAAAGGGACAAAACGCCAATAACTCTTTTATGAATTTAAAAAAACATATTTTTTCAATAAATTTATTCGATAATTTTGATTTAAAAAGCCTGGTCAAAGTTGAAAATAATTTCTTGCATATATATCCAAATAGTAATTTTATTAAACCATTATTTTCCTTTGATAGGGAAAAAATAGAATTAATAATGATATCAGAGTTACGAAAAATCAGAATATATTTACAAAGGGATACACAATACGAACAAAGATATGATATAACAATTGCATTAGCCCGTGATTTTGCAAACTTAAAGGAAGAGATAGAAAAAACTGATTTTTATCCAATGAACAAAAAAAAAACACAAAAAATTAAAAAACCATTTGTATTATGTAAAACCAACATTATTGCTATACATAAAAATAAATATACCTTAAAACCAGAATTGATACTAGAAAAAAAAAATTGTACAGTTAAAATTGATAAAAATAATTTTACTATAACTTTCATAATCAAAAATAAGTTAAGTAAAACTCCTGAAGATGTAAAAAGTATTACTTTATCTAATTCAGTGAACTTTAATAAATGGATAGTAACTTTAAAACTTGCATCCTTTATATCAATGCAACACAATTTTGAGGATAATATTTCATTTCCTTCTATTTCTTATGGACATACTTGTCCTGAAGCAACAAGTCTATTAAAAAAAAATAATTCTATATTAAATTTTTTTAAAAAAAAAAAAAAAATACCAAATATTAGCTAAATTTAATAAAAATAAAGATAATTTAAAAAAAAAAAAAAAATACACTGAAAAAAATTAAATTATTAGTATAAAGTTAATAATAAGTAAAATGTATCAAAACTATAATAGACAGGCTTTTGATATTTTTTATTTTTTATTAATATTGTTGTATATATATTATTTAAAATTCTCATAACATTAAAAAAAATTATTATATTGTTTTTATTAATTTGATAAACATACCAAATCAAATGTTTCTTTATATAAATGAATACATCAAAATTTTAATTTCTCAACAATAAAAAAAAATGTTATTTTAATATTTTAGTTATTTAAAAAATGATATCAAATTGTAAAGCTGAATACTTATTTATTATTATTTCAAAATGACTTATTTTAGAATAAGGAGAAAAAAAAAAAAAAAAATTAGTTCAATTTTGATGTATGATTATATAATTTTTTTTATGTGAATAAATTTCAAATTTACTATTCTATATATATATATATATATATATATATATATATATATATATATATATATATTTTTAATCATTATAAAAATGTTTTTAATGAAAGCTATAAATTTTATTTGTTTTTTTTTTTCTTATTAGTTTCAAGTATTTTTCTTATGTGCGTAAGTATATTTCACATATTTATGTTATACATTAATCTTTTTTTTTTTTGGATGTAATTTCGTTCTCTTTTTACTGTAATATTATTCTTGTAAATCTTATTATAAGAACATTAAATAAAATTAAATATCTCCAACACATCAATATTATTTTATCAACTTATTTTTTAATAATTTTGCTTTTCTCTTTTATTATCAAATATTTGAAATTTTCCTTAAGAATAAAATACTATTTTAAAAAAATATTTTAAAAGAATGATTTTTACTTTATTATAGTTTTTATTTTATATTATTTTTTTCCTTTTTTTTTTTTTTTTATATATTATATGAAAAAGTATAAATTTTATTTTTATAATTTATTTAATTACTCATAGTTAAAATCTAAACATTTTTTTTTTTTTTCTCTATTTAAAAAATTTTAATTTAATACTCTAAACGAATTTATTTCATAGCGACATATTATTTTATTTATTTAAAATTTATGTTTTTTTCTTTTTTTATATTTTAATTGTAATGAAAAAAAAAAAAAAAAAAAAAAAAAAAAAAAAAAAAAAAAA